AAGCTTTAAAACGGATTTATCTGGGTTTAGACCCCATTGGGAGTTGGGCATCTGAGTGCTAAAGACAAGCGCGCTACTGTGAGCTGTTTTCAGGTAAACTTGCAGCTTTGGGACAAGTGATTCAGACCCTGGATCTGTGTTAGAGCCAGACAGGAGTGGCTGGCTCAGCAAGACAGAGTGCTGGAGTCCCGAGTTGGCAGGGAAAACAGAAGCAGGGGTAGTCTTTGCGCATCGGGTGGCAGCTCCCAAGGGGGTTTCTGTGATCCAACCCGTCACAACCATTGTGGATGAACAAGGGGGTGCCAAATATTCAAGGGTGTTATGAATGGGTACACAACACTGAGCATGGAAACCTGGAAGTTAAATTTAAAACGTAGAACACTTAGGAGACAAGAAACAAAGGTTGTACATGAAGAGTTAAGTACATCAAGGAGAGAGTGAATGAAGTGTGCCTACTCTGCTCCCTGAAAGTCTACACTGTGTCAGGTACAAAACACAAAAAAAAGTTTTACTTCAGTGCTAACAAAAACATTTAGGATACCGATTCAGCTATGCATCAAGAGAAACATAAAGAATCTTGAAGAAAATCTGGAAAATGTTACATCCATGAGCATGGAAAGTAGGGAGCTCTGTCGATATTCTTTTAATGTTTCTCTTCATAATGTGGCTTAATCCACAGCTTGGTAATATGTGCATGCTTGGGATATTTTTGGCAATCAACCTGTTTGTCTCCTGTATCTCTTGGAGCAAACACAAGAAGTCATGCTTGACTACTCTTCTTAAGCAATGGCCAAGAGATTAGAATGTCTCACGCAGTCCACAAAGGACATCTACTTAGCGTGTTCAAGAATTCTTCAGACAAGGAGAGCTGCAACAGACTTGAAATTTCTGGAAACACCATTGATGAACTAAGGTAATATAATATAGCACTGCCATAAGTGAGGTAAGTACCTCATTTTCTCAGTACTAAATTAGTTGCAGACAGAAGCTTTGAGGAACTTATCTGAATGAAGGATACAAGAAATTATGCAAAGAAGATTCAGGAGACTAAAGATTTATTACACCTGAACTGCATGGGCCGTTTTCTGTGAGCTCAATTTAGGGATCCAAAGTTACAATTTGAGTTAAGTGAACATTCAAGTTTGTTCTTCAATAATGGTCTCTGCATCAGCTAGGAAAACTCACTGAAGCCATGATATTCATTTTCGAAGTGGTTACGCACCATTACTTGGCAAAAGTGTTTGTTTTCCTGACATTGCTATGGATCCAAGTGTGTGTTTGAGAGAGGAAGATTTTAAAATTTCTAAAATACCTACTTGGATTCTTTTATCTTCCAGATGGATTCTAGGATGGCACCATGGTAGATCTCAGAACTGCTGGATCAATGCAACTAATCAGAAAATAGGAAATATACAAGAAACTGTGTTTTAGTTAATCTATTACTTTTTTAGTGGCAAATGGCTTTTAGACAATTTTTGCTTGTATATTCATAAATAACTTGATCTTTTATGTCAAATTTGAACAAAATTATAGAAATAGGCATAGCAGAAGCTCAACATCACAATTATTATTGCTCTTATGTATTTTTACAATGTCCAAAAGTGCAAGGGACTTTACAGAACAGGATCATTAGCATCTTGCCTCAAAGAGCTTATGGTTTTCTTTAAGACAGCAGAAAATGTTGTTTTTAAGCAAGCATTGGTCAGCAATGTTTGCATTCTAAATATTGCAGCAGAGAACTTGAAAGTGAAACTGACTGAATAAAAACAGAATTGTTGTTTAATATTTCACTCTTTTAAATTTAGTAAACTAAGATGTTGAAGTACTGTTTAGGTAAAATGAGGAAGGACATTTATTTGAAATGTGATTTGGCATCGACCCTTCAATTTTTTATAGTGTGTTTTTTATAAAGCACTTCTTAATGAGTAAGTCAATTTTCCAGCATTCTGGTTGGCTGGAGGAAATTTTGTTCAGTATAATGTATCTTTACAAAAGGGAGAAAGTTCCTGAAAATCTGACAGAATTAGTTTGCTAGAGAGAATGAGAAGTTAAAGTGCAGAAAACTTATAAGGGCTTCTGTAACACTTGTGATATGCTCAGCCCAAAAGAGTAAACTAGGATCACAGTAGGGATAGTACAAGGGTGAACTACTTCAGTGGATGAAGAACTTAACAGAGATTGACTTGTTGGGTAGCCTAGGAAATTCTATCTTCTTGGTCTTTCTCTATTTAATAAATGGGGAACAGTAATATTTAATTAGCTCACAGGAGTGTTGTGAAGATTAGTTAATGTTCATTCAGGGCTTGCAAGATAAAGGACCAAAGTATTTAATCATCCTAGGACGATGATGGAGGGAAGTAATTTGGAGGAAGGCATTCGAACACTCATGTTTAGTGCCAGTTTTTGTTTATGCCCTGAAAGGCAGAGGGGCATGGCAGAGGGGCATTGCTGTACAGGTACATTGGCCAAACCGGACAGTTTCTCCGCAAAAGAATTAATGGACACATCTGACATCAAGAATCATAATACTCAAAA